CGTCACCAACGATAAGAAATCAGTTAGTTCACAAATCCGTAAATAAGAGTTGATAATTGAATTCCAATCCATCTGATTTTTGGCCGTATTTTCGACATCAGGTCGCAATGTGGGCGTGCAGCTCGCGTAGCGGCGCCCGCTTCGATGTGCGAGAGGATGCCGCGGGGGCCGCGCGGGCCGCGCAGCGTCGTCGCTGCGTTCCCAGCGTCACCTGGCCAGGCGAACGTCGCGAACGCTCTCGCGGCGTTTGAAGACGCTTTTGGTGCTCGCCCAACCGGCTGACACCCATTTTATGCTCCAAGAGGAATTCTGATGGAATTTAACAGTTTTAAATATTTGGTAACTCAACACTTCGCGAACACCTGTTCCTAGTTATTAATTTTCGGCGTTTACGTGTCGAAGTTTTTCTCAAAATCTTGGAATACCTGTACACTTGTACAGTTTTTTTTACCTCTATTCGGCTAAAATACTTTGTTTTCCCTTTCATCACTGAAGTAATGATGCTTTGTTGTAACCCGATAGTGTAGCATATCCAAATCTTCGATTCTTAATCGTTGACAAAATGTTACTATCTCTCGCTGAGGCACGCGTCGAAGAGACTCAAAGTATTGTAAAATATACAAACACAACAAAAATAATCAATTAACAAACGTGCTGTAATTTTTGAGAAAGTTCTTCTTTCACATACTACCACTAATGTATAATAATATCACTGGGTTCTCCATCTTTTCAATTCTCTCTCCTGAACTGCCTTTTAGATAAATAGCTTTAGTAGAGATAAAGTTAATTTACTTTTAACACGTAGTACATGGAATTCACTGCATAGTTCTCGGCTATTGCAAAGTTACTATGGTATATGTGGAATCTTAATGGTGTTTTTGTAGCCTTAGAAAGTGGTGCAACACTTTAACTAGTTAATACCATTTCAGAAATGTGTTGCAGAAGTAGGCTTCTGAAAGTAGAGCGAGTGACGCTTTGTTGCAATTGCATATTTTTAATTGAAAATCATGAATCATAGTCATTGAAAAATTCCTTGTATCGTACATACGAATATACATTCATATATTTATTATATCAATCGAGATGATTGTTGCCTGAAACTAGTTCTTTTAATATTTCTGTTTTACAGTTTTTTACCAACAAATGTTTATAGTTTTGAAATACATTATCAGGTTTATGAGCATAAAATGAAGTTTTCTATACTCCAGCATTAGCCAGCCAAGTGACATTCTTCGTAACGAGAAATCGTTTATAAAAGGACATTTTAGGGCACAAATTATGACGTCGCTCATTTTCAAAACGTGAATTCATGCAATAAATATTAACATTATAAACAAGTTGCATAAACTACTGTTAATGCACAATAGAGGATTTATTATTTAATGAAATATGAAATAAATGAATATTTCTATTTCTTAAACTGGTTCTGATCTGACATACACTTAAATGACGTCACGTTATTTCAGAATAAGTTATTCTGATTAACAAAAAGTTCATGCGCAAAATAATATTTGAAGGTTAAACACATTTAAACAGAGAAAAAGATGACATTAGTATCACCAGATTATACATTTCAATATTCTATAATGCATTGTTTACACTTTTTGTACTCGAGTCATTAACAACAACGTTATTATTCATTTAAATGCATTACCTAACCCTTAATGGATAAAAAATAATTATATGAGATTAACATTACCAACAATAAAAGAATTCACATTCTGTATGACTCCAACAAATCAGAAAAACATATACAATTGTGAAAACATTACTCACGAATAATCTGTCTCTCATTTCTGAAAACATTTAGTTCCCCAGCTGCAAACATTGCACAGAGTTAACAAAGAACTCTGCGTAACCTGATACAGAGAATTCGATATGCTAATAAAAGAAAAAAAAGAGCGAAAAATAAAACATCCGAATTTTATTCCGATTTAGCCGACGCACGGTGGCACCGCCGCGCGTGCATCGGAATCCAATCTGGATTCTTCCTCTCGGTAATTTCAGCTCCCGTAGCGCGCTATTTGTTTTCTCTGCCGCATCCGCAACACAATATTGTTTTAGCTATTGCCCGCGGGTCGGCCCCATGCGCGCCATTAGCCTGCACAAACACATGTCCCCCGCGGCGAGCCGCCCGCGCCCCCGCACGCGACCGCGCGCCGCAGTGCTGAACTCTGGTGCCCCGAGCGCCCCCCGCGGCCCCCGACGCCCCACGCGCGGTGGACGCTCACTTTTCTGCGATTCAGTGCCCCCACCGCCACCTACGCAGCACCTGGGGACCGGTGGCGCTCTGTTCATTGGATGTGGAAACATCTTAAGGCAACTTGTTCATGCTTAGCCTTCGGTAGACTTGTTTCGGGACACGCGTGACGATGCGTTGCCTGGAGAGAGGAAACATTACATTGCCATTGTTGGATTATCAGGAGAGGGTCAGACGATCTATTCATTAGACGCAGAATTTTGAGTTCCTGATTCTGTTGCATTTGTATTATACTGTTGTGCACATAAGTGATAATACAATGACGATACGTCTTACTTGATTTTATTAAATCTTCTACGAAGAGAAGATAATTGCGGTAAAGAAAGGGGTTGATTCGTTAAGGTAATTAAAAATTTCTTTACTTCTCTCTCTACACACATACACTATAAAGAGAAATAAATGTCCCATTTGATAGAAACGTTGTACTATCATACAACACAAAATTGATTTATTTATATTACAGATTTACAATGTGTTGATACATTATTTTGTTCCGTCTTAATTGCTACAAGGTTATTTTCGAATATGTTTTCCACTCTTTATTGTTTTTTCCATTTTTTCTAACTTTGCAATCTTTCTACCTTAAACTTTAAACAACACAAAATAATAAAACGAATTAAATATTATTTTATTGTATAACGTGAACATTGATTAGCTACTGTCTAGACATGGGTGCTAAATAATTCACTCGTGCGTACTAGTATTTTATGTATGAAGTCTGAAAAGATTTTTAAACGGGGATGGTCAATGATCTTATTCAAAAACATTCACATTTCGACTGAGGAGAATACGTTATCTTTTTGTGCAATTATTTCTTAAAGTATCTATTTCTACACTATAAGTACAAAAACGTTATTTCTGCCGACATATGCTGGTCAGAGTAATTCAAAGCAAAAAAGCGTAGTGAAGTGAAGTGAAGTGGCGGTGAACGCGATCAATGCACTTTTTCAATGCTGCTTTTGTCTTGTACTGTATTGTTCGGTATTATTATTATTATTATTATATTATTATTATTATTATTATTATTTATTATTATTATTATATTAATGTAAGTGTTGTAATTTTTGCAATTATTGGGACTTAACTGCACCGGGTTCATACCTAATTGCAGTTCTAATAATGTAATGTATGTATAAATGTAACAATTTTTTATAGAAAAGTAAACGTTGGTAGTCCCAATGTTCACCAGACATTGTTGTTTCTCTTTGAGTAACGTGTTCTGTTTTACGTACAGTACACCATATCGGCGGTACAAATGTGCATTCACCTGTGTATCTTCAGTACTTCAGTAAAAGTTTTATAACGCCTTGTCCAAGAATCTTCTATTTTACGGACGAGTACAGAAATAGCTGCTTTAACACTCACCACCTAGTGAGATCAGATAGAAAAAGATAATTTCAATTCTTTTAAGGTCATGGAGAATATAACAATGCAAATTGTAAAATTTAGTTGGTTTTTAAAGTTAGATATAATTGCTATTGGGATAAACGAAACCTTGGCTTCTAGCAGTATACAAATCGCACGTGTATATCGTCGTTTTTCGCACAAAAGTATAAGACAGTAAAACCAAAAGTATCAGGAAACAAATATTAAAATATCGCAGCATGCAACATAAAATAGTTACATTTTTACTCAAAGAGAAGAAGAAAAGTAAATCGAAATCTTGGTGTGGCATTTTCGCAATCAGAAATGGGTAAAGAAGTGAGTACAAAAAAAAATTCACTCCGTGTGCTATTCATTGACCCTTTTCAGAAAGCTAACAAAAAGGGAATATTTTAAAATAAATATCTAAATATTCTTAGTTGATATTGTGACCTGTATTTTCACATTTTTCAAGCGAAGAGTCGTAAACAACATGTTGCAATACTGGAATCAGTGAAATATAATATTCATCCTTGATTTCGTTTATTTTTCTACAAAATGGAAGGTTTTTTGTTCCACCAATAACGACGTAAATTACGTTTCTCATTTTAATAATAAATAAAATATGTGTTCGTAAAAAATATGATATATTACTTGTTTTACATAACAATTAATAGTATTTTATAAGTATTTATAGATACTATTTAATAATATTTTATAAATATATTAAAATATTATATTCTATTTCACTATCAAATTCTGAGGCATTGAAATTGCATTTCGTTTGTAATTCGCACTATACGATAACTATTTGTTAATCCTACACTTCTTAGCAAGGAGGAGTCAGTTGGTAAGAAATCGGTAAATTCAATGTAAGAGACATGTTCAAGCACTTGTAAAATCTTCTGAATATATGCAATTTGAATTAAGCCATGTACATCTGTTGCAGTAAATGATATGAATTTCCAAAAAGAACCAAAGTATTAAATTATAATTATGGGTATTTATATATTTCTGATATTCCATATGTTACTGATTGGAAAAGTAAATATGTAAATAATATTTTTAAAATATTATTAAGTATTATGAGAAACAAGTAAAAGACGAAACATAATACATTTTTGGTTTTACAATGTTTTTGTAATAGTTTTGTTTCACAAACAATGATGTAGATCAAAATAAATTGTTCGGTAAAATTTAAGTCGACATTACACACTAAAATATGACCCGAGAAAGAAAGAGAGTAGATTATATTTCTCTAAGATAATGACATATCGTATCGTGTGAAATCACTTTTCTTTATAATATCATACAAATATTCATGTTTCTGAAGATATTACATATACCTGTCAATCATCATTTGTATTTTACCCACATTATATTCAACCGTTAGAATCGTAACTTAACGTGAATATGGACAGTTAATCGAATACAGAGTTATAGGAGAAGATAATGGAGGCACAGCCATTGCATACATCCATTATATATACTTTGCGATTTCGTTCCATTCAGGCCTGACCGTATTTCCTTCAAAGTTGTAGCTTTTGATTCGTAAACCCAAGATTCAGAGCGACGCGCGTGTCAGATTACGAGGTCCACACTGCGATCCGAATGAAAGTTTATATCACACTGCCTCAATTAATCGTGTAGAGCATGGTTTCTCGGTTTCCCAAAACAGAAATTTCACATTAACCCTCCATTTATCTGTATGATAAATAATAGGTTTCACACAACATTGAAATAAGCCAACATATTATGATCTGTTGTGTTCGTACCTTGCTAGGCATTCGATATGGCTCTGTTGCTGAACGTAGAATGTTTCGGACATTTAAAAGAAACATTCAAAATGCGCGTAGATATTAAATTCATATCCTATACTACCATGTGAAAGCAGGGATTTACGAAAACGATAGCAAACTACATTAAGTAATATCTAGGATAATTATTGAGAGTGAATCACAGTATTGTGTCGTGTATTATTATTGACTAAAAATATTGCTAACAGTTCAAGGGACGTCAGAATGTAATACGTCTCACACGCTAATCATTAACGTCTGGACAAATTATCAAATTATAATATTTTGAATGCCATCCTTCAAAATGTTATCAATTATTTGAACAAAATTTCGGGAGTCACGGGTCACTTGACCCTTCTTGAACTGCCATGGGAGCCACATTCAATTTTTTATGTATTTCTAGTTCCTAAAGCATACTCAGTGAGCAAGTTTATTATCCTTTACAAGTTTTGTTTATATTTTTCAAGCTCCACTGAAATGTCTCCAGCAGAAATTTCATTTTACATTTCTATCAACAAAATGTGTACGTAAATTTTCTACATTTTTATATGAACTCCATTCTTTACTACTTTGTTGACTCTTTATCCAAATATAGATTTTTTTATATCACTTTTTAACATCTTGGACAGATAATGACCACTGTGAACGGTTTAACTGTAGGAGTAACACGTAAGGACAATACAAACATCCATAAATATCCATGCGAGAGTCGCGGGCTTCGAACCCGCGACCCTTCGAGCCTAAGCGACCTTGACTATCTAGGCTTGCAAAGTAGACATTTTGTTTCATAATAGTCTTACTTTTTTATCAAGAAATTAATGGTCATATTTCTGCAGACAGGGTTATGTGCTGCCTTTTGACGTCTTCTATCGAAACAAATTTCACCGACAAATATAAGTATTGCGAGTATTAGTCCTGCACCTAATAGTTGCAAATGCGGGAGCACCACAGTCAAGGAGAACGCCTCTACGTCTTTCTCCTCTACGAGCTCTGAATCAAAATTTAAAGCTCTCTTCTTTTGGCTTAGTATCCGCTGAATAAATATGTTCTTACGATTGAAATCCTGTTGCCAGAAGTTTGGAAGGCCTGCGGACTTGAAACGCAATATTTCAATCTGAAATGCATCAATCCATGGCCAGTTCCTGTCAAAAAGAAAAGAAACATAATTTAACTTTTTTTTCATTTTTCGACTGTTCATACAATAATGCAAATATATTTCGTACTAATATCCAAAATTATAATTAATTTTATTCAATTGTTAATTTGGAGAAATTTTTAAAGACAGTAATAATATTTATAGAACTAGTATTTTACATTACAATGGGACCTTGAGAATTCGAACGTGGATAAACTGATTTTCTTCATATCTGAATTTTAATATTTCCCATTCACATCAACATATGTGAGTAAATTTATCGAAAAATCTAATATTATGAAAGAAGTATCTCTCTAATTCTTTTCCTTGTTGCTTTCTGAAAGTACCATTGAATATTAGTGCTTTTATCTTCATTAATATACGGAAACTGCAATTCTTGTGAGATTAGTGAAAACACAAATTTCTCCCAATCTAACGTCCAGAGCGTCTTATCTACAGGGTATCCAAGTGTAGTGGTGAGGTCAAATGTGTCGATTCTGTAATTTTGGGTCATTGTACAAAATGTTATCATTCTCGCTGAGGCACGGCGTACGAAGAGATAAAATATTGTAAAGATATACAACACAACAAAATAATCAATTAACAAACGTGCTGATTTTGAGAAAGTTTTCTTTACATCACTAGCACTAATGTATAATAATATCACTGGGTTCTCCGTTTTTCAATTCTCTCTCTGAACTGCCTTTTAGATAATAGCTTTAGTAGAGATAAAGTAAGTTTACTATTAACATCTATAAACAGTTGGAATTCACTGCATAGTTTCTGGCTATTCAAGTTACTTGGTATTGGTGTTGATATCTTATGTGTTTTTGTAGCTTAGAAAGTGGTGGCACACTGGTATATAGTTCATACATTCAGAAATGTTTGGCAGAAGTAGGCTTCTGAAAGTAGAGGCGGTGACCGCTTTGTTGCCATTGATATTTTTAACTTGAAATCATGAATCATAGTCATTGGAAAATTCCTGTATCGTTACATACGAATATACATTCATATATTTTTTCATTCTATCGAGATGATGTTAGCCTGAAACTAGTTTGCTTTAATATTCTGTTTTACAGTTTTTTTACCAACAAATGTTTATAGTTTTGAAATAATTATCAGGTTTTGAGCATAAAATGAAGTTTTCTATTTACTCCAGCATTAGCCAGCCTAAGGAACATCTTCGTAACGAGGAAATCGTTTATAAAGGACATTTTAGGGCACAATTATGACGTCGCTCATTTCATAACGTGAATTCATGTAATAAATATTAACTTATAAACACCAGTCGCGTAACTACTGTTAATGGGCACATAGAGGATTTATTTTTAATGAAATATGAAATTAGAATGAATATTTCTTATTTCCTTATAAACTGGTTCTGGATCTGACATACCTTAAATAACGTCAACGTTATTTCAGATAAGTTATTCTGATTAACCAAAGTTCATGTGCAAATAATTATTTGAAGGGTTTAAACCATTTAAACAGAGAAAAAGAGACTATTGTATCAACAGGATTGATACATTTCAATATTCTATAATGGCATTGGTTTAACACTTTTTGTCTCGAGTCATTAACAACAGTTATTATCATTTAAATGCATTACCTAACGCTTAAATGGATAAAAAATAATTATCTGAGTTAACATTCAACAGTAAAAGAATTCACATTCTGTAATGACCTCAAACAAATCAGAAAAAACATATAGCAATTGGTGAAAAACATTTCTGACGAATAATCTGGTTCTCAATTTGTGCAAACATTTAGTTCCCAGCTGCAAACATTTGGCACAGAGTGGGGGGTTACAAAGACTCTGCGTAACCTGATACAGAGAATTCGATATGTATAAGAAAAAAGAGCGAAAAATAACATCCGAATTTTATCGCGATTTAGCCGATCGCCACGGTGGCACCGTCCCGCGCGTGCATGGAATCCAATTTCTGGAATTCTTCTCTGGCTATTTGCAGCTCCCGTAGCGCGCTATTTGTTTTTCTGCCGCATCCCGCAACACAATATGTTTTAGCTATTGCCCGGGTCGGCCCCATGCGGCCATTAGGCCTGCACAAACACAGTGTATTGTCCCCCGCGGCGAGCCGCCGCGGCGCCCCGCACGCGACGCGCGCGCGAGTGCTGAACCTGGTGCCCGAGCGCCCCCCGCGGCCCCGACGCCCCGCGCGGTGGAGCTTCGTTTTTCTGGGCGATTCAGTGCCCCACGCACCTACGCAAGCAACTGGGCGGTGCGCTCTGTTTTTGGATGTGGAAACATGCTAAGGCACTTGTTCATGCTTAGCCTTCGGTAGACTTGTTTCGGGACAGGCGTGAACGATGCGTTGCCTGGAGAGAAATTACATTGCATTGTTGGATTATCAGGAGAGTGGTCGGGTCAGACGATCTTCGCATTAATGCATACTTTTTGGTTTCTGATCCTGTTGTTTTGTATTTGGTGTATGTGTACTGAGTGATAATACAATGACGATTAATACTTAGTGTTATTAATCTACGAAGGAAGATAATATGGGTGAGAGAGGGGTCCTTTTCGTTAAGGTAACGATCATTTCTTACTTCTCTCTACAGACACTACACTATAAAAGAGAAATATAACGTCCATGGAATAGAAACGTTGTCCTATCATACAACACAAATTGAATTTATTTATATTACATAGATTTAAGTGTGTTTAGTACAGGATTTACATTATTTTGGTTCTGTCTTAATTGCTACATAGCGGTTATTTTCGGAAATATGTTTTTTTTGTTCCCCCCCACCTCTTTATTGTTTTTTTCCATTTTTTTCTAACTTTGGCAAATCTTTCTACTTAAACTTTAAACAACACAAATAATAAACGAATTAAATATTATGTTTTATGTGTATAACGTGAACATTGGATTAGCTATGTCTAGACATGGGTGCTATAATTCAATCGTGCCGTAAGTAGTATTTTATTATGAAGTCTGAAAAGGAAGATTTTAAACGGGGATGGTCAATGATCTTATTCAAACAGTTCACATTTTCGACTGAAGGAAAATACGTTATTTTTTTGTGCAATTGATTTCTTAAGTATCTATTTCTATCACTCATAAGTACAAAAACGTTATTCTGCGACATACTGCTGTTCAGACGTAATTCAAAGCAAAAAAGCGTAGTGAGTGAATGAAGTGGCGGTGGAACGCGATCATGCACTTTTTCAATGCTGTTTTTCGTCTTGGTACTGGTATTGTCGGGTATTATTATTATTATTATTATATTATTATATTATTATTATTATTATTATTATTATTATTATTATTATTAATTAAGTGTTGTAATTTTTGCAATTATTGGACTTAATGCACCGAGGGTTCATCCTAATTGCAGTTCTAATAAATGTATGTTATGATATAAATGTTAACAATTTTTTTATAGAAAAGTTAAACGTTGGTAGTCCCAATGTTCACCAGACATTGTTGTTCTCTTTGAGGGTTAACGTGTTCTGTTTTTACGTACAGTACAACCATATCGGCGGTACAAATGTGCATTACCAGCTGTGTACTTCAGTCTTCAGTAAAGTTTTATAACGGCCTTTGTCCAAAGAATCTCTATTTTACGGACGAGTACAGAAATAGCTGCTTTAACACTCACCACCTAGTGAAGATCAAAATAAAAAAAGATAATTTCAATTCTTTTAGGGTCATGGAGAATATACATGCAAATTGTAAAATTTAGTTGGTTTTTAAAGTTAGAAATAACTTGCTTATTGGCGATAAACGAAACTTGGGCTTCTGCAGGTCTAAAATCGCAGCGTGTATATCGTCGTTTTTTCGCACAAAAGTATAAGACAGTAAAACCAAAAGTATCAGGAAACAATTATTCAAATATCGCAGCATGGCAACATAAAATAGTTACATTTTTACTCGAAGAGAACAAGAAAAGTAAATCGAAAATCTTGTGGGCATTTTTCGAAATCAGAATGGGTAAAGAAGTGAGTACAAAAAAAAATTCACACTCCGTGTGCTATTCATTGACCTTTCAGAAAGCTAACAAAAAGGGATATTTTAAATACATATTCTAATATTCTTAGTTGATATTGGGGTTTTGGGAAACCCTGTTTATTGTTTACCCCATTTTTCAAAGGCGAAGAGTCGTAAACAACATGTTGCAATACTGGAAAATCAGTGAGAATATAATATTCATGCCTTGATTTCGTTTATTTTTCTACAAAATGGGAAGGTTTTTGGTTCCACATATACGACGTAATTACGTTTCTCATTTTAATAATAAACTAAATATGTGGTTAGTAAAATATGATAATATTATTGGTTTTTACATAACAATTAATAGTATTTTTATAATATTTATAGATCACTATTATAATTTTTTATAAATTCATTAAAATATATATTTATTTCCACTATCCAAATTCTGAGGCATTGAAATTGCCTTTCGTTTGTAATTTCGCACTATAACGATACTATTTTGTTAATCCTACACTTCTTAGCAAGGAGGAGTCAGTTGGTAGAATCGGTAATATTCAATGTAAGAGACATGTTCAAGGCACTTGTAAAATCTTCTGAATATAATGCAATTTGAATTAAGCCATGTACATCTGTGCAGTAAATGATATGAATTTCCAAAAAGACGACAAAGTATTGAAATTTATAATTATGGTATTTATATATTTCTGATATTCCATATGTTACTGATTGGAACAAGTAATATGGTAAATAAATTTTTAAAATTTTTAAGTTATTATGAAAACAAGTTAAAAGACAGAAACATAATACATTTTTGGGTTTTACACAACAATGTGTTTGTAATAGTTTTTGGTGTTCAAGAACAATGATGTAGATAAAATAAATTGTTTACGTAAATTTAAGTCGACATTAACACCTAAAATTGACCCGAGAAAGAAAGAGAGTAGATTATATTTTCCTAAGATAATGACATATCGTTCGGCGTGAAATCACTTTTCTTATAATATATACAAATAATTCATGTTTCTGAAGATACTTACATATACGCTGTCAA